GGGCTGTAGGATGTCCCTCCAAGTCCATATCCTTTATTCTCATCTTGATAAATTCAAGGGGAACATGGGAGCGTACTCGGAGGAGCACGGTTGGTTACATACGGTGCGAAAAAATGCAACATACGTACACACATTGACTCACACAGAGACCCGTAGACTCACACAGAGACCCGTAGACTCACACAGAGACCCATAGACTCACACAGAGACCCATAGACTCACACAGAGACCCGTAGACTCACACAGAGACCCGTAGACTCACACAGAGACCCATAGACTCACACAGAGACCCGTAGAATCACACAGAGACCCATAGACTCACATAGAGACCCATAGACTCACACAGGGACCCGTAGACTCACACAGAGACCCATAGACTCACACAGAGACCCGTAGACTCACACAGAGACCCATAGACTCACACAGAGACCCATAGACTCACACAGGGACCCGTAGAGTGTTGTTCTTCCCCCGCACCTCCGATTAGCACGGTTGGCTACCTAATTTGCGAAAGAAGTTCAACATATAGTACGTACATACATCACTAGTACTCTCACGGTCATTGCATTTACTGTTCTATTTAAAAGAAGCGAGGTGATGCCATCGGCGTGCTGTCATGGAACACCTGATCGTGATTTTAATAACAACAAAAATATTTCCCTCTCTCATCAACGGCTCGAGACGACCGCTCCATCGTAGCAAATCGGCCACTCAGCCCGTCGGTGCAGGGCCCAGCCAATACCAACCGCAAGCAGCTGGACGTTGCCCCGAGAAGTTAGTTCGGACTGCGACACGACAGCTCTCTCATCTCTCTCTCTCCTCTCTCTCTCTCTCACACACTCACACTCCATCCTGCTGGCTGTCGCGGGGAAGGCCAAGGGAAACATTTGACTTGGCAGGCCGTCGGGCGGAGCGCGCGGGAACGCGAACCGCTCCCACACAATGCAGGGTGACGGACGCAATCAATTTGAGGTCTATTAACTCAATCCCCTGCCCACGGTTCATTTGCGGCACTTGACATCTTCTTCTTCTTCATGTAAGGTGTCGCGGCCGTTGTCGGTGTGAAAGTTGTGGGAGAGTGGGAGCGGCAGTGATGGTGGGTGGGTGGTGGTGGTGGCTGTGTGCGTGGGGGTTACTGCATCCGTGCAGGGCACCGTACGGAGTTGTGAAACGGGGAGCGGGGGGGGGGAGCAAGGAGGATGGTTCACGCGAGAAACTTCTTGGCTGAGACTCAAACATAACGGAGCGATGTTGCTCCGGAGCGCAGGCGCCGAGAAGAGTGTGAGCGACAAGACACGTCGCTTCCCAGATCTCATCGGACCTCTGCAGCTAAGCAGGATTTTGGGTCTGGTTATTGGCCGGATGCGTGAACTCTGACTGCCGGGGCGTGCTGCTGTGAGATGCGGCCAGAGAGAGTGTCACCACACCCTCACTGTACATGCCCCGTCTGTTTTTTTTCTTCTTCAAAATGAATAAATAATGTCTCCTTCTCACGTTTGTCTTTCCACGTGGAAGAAAAAAACTTGTTTGCGTGATTTATTTTGTCATTAACATTCAATAAAATTACACTTAATTAGTTGTGTCGTGTTATACGGTAGTTTTGCGCCTAACTATAACTCAAATGTTACACGAAGTGTCCCGGCAAGTTCACCAGCATTGGTTCAAACAAGTCTGTTTTTGCCGATGAGACACTGCATGTCAAAACCAGTCCGGAGTTTTTTTTTCGTCATGGTACTAATGAGATAAACACTCCTCGAGGGCCTTGTGACCGTGGCGTAGTTGTCAACATTTGTACTCATATGATGTTACGTGCAGAGGCAAATATGGGGGAAGAAGGAGGCATTATTTATAGTCGTTCTACGGACTATTTCGACAAAAGTCAGGCGCAGAGGTGGCTGCCACAGTGGAGGACAAAGGGCCCAGGGAATTTGGAGCTCTTTAAATACTGCACAACGCGCCGCGTATGTGACGTTCCCAGGACGAAGTTGGTGAAACTTAGTCCAGTCTGGCAGAGATTAGGCGGTGGGGTCTCTTTATTTATTTATGCACTTAGCAAAGTGCAAAGTCTACGTTGTTGGCTTCGTAACAAAAGTGGTGGGGTGTTTGCGATATAAGTAAATATATAAAATGTATGAATAAACTGCATATGCATGCTCCTCTTGTTTACGTATGCATCGCGGCGATTGTAGCAAGCGAGACTAAATCTGGACCGAAGGATTAAGCGGAGGGGAATGGCAGCAGCAACAGCAGCAACAGCAGACATCTGTCAACAGCAAACTGCAGCATTGGGCGCATTCGAGCTCACAGCATCGCCAGCGCACAGCTCAATACACTTTACATTATTAAAAAAAAACAAGATATCCCCAGCTTGTGAAGATAAAATTAATTGGAAACCCAATTCCATTTATTCCCCCGGCTAGAGAATTGATTGTGAATGGAGGGACAAAAGACGGAGCGAGAGGGAGATAATGTATATTGTATTGTAATTTCCGGCGTATAATGCGCACAATTTGTACAAAAAAATAAATAGGCAACATAAAATAAAACCGCGATGAGAATGTATCCATTTATTTCTTCTCGTTCCTCCGTTCGTATTTAGTTTCAGGTGCAGCCACATGGCGAGCCACGGGCCTTCATCCAGCAGCGGATTGACCATGGCTGATGCTGATGACGATGATGAGTGAGCCAGACAAATCTTCTTGCTACCACATTGAGTGTCGATTTTCTGTTCTTCTCTCAAGTGTATAATTTGCGAGGGTTGCGACAATTTCCCTTCCAAACGTACGATTCGTTGACTTGCCAAGATCCAACGTATAATACTACAGTATATATGTTTACAATTTGGTGAATGTAGCGGCCTCCAGTGTCTGGAGGGGGATCGCCACAACCCCTTTACGCACAATGTAAACAACAATAAAAGCACATTGATTCTTAAACAAGCAAATTGAAGCACGTATGGTGAGCTCACATTTTTTTTTAACCTGATAATAATCAATGAATCGATGCACCATTACACCCGTACTGATAGCCTCTTCATTTTAAAACGACATAATTCTCTTTTTTATCGCCCATACAAACAAATTGGCACTCCCAGAGACATCATCGCATTGATTATTATTAATCGAGTGGGCTCGGGCAGGAGGAGGCGTCGTCACGGCCGCAAGGGACGGACGGCAGAGCCGGGCTGGCCGAGTCTGACAGCCGAGCGGCCACCAAGAGGGGCGGACTTGGGTCCTCGAGGTCGTGGATCCGACGCGGAGACGGAGCGACGCAATGAGCTCGGGGCGCAGGCGATCCCGTGTGTCACTGCGTCATAAAGACTGCGAGAGAGGCCGGCCACGATGAGCGCAGGCCTTCGTTCAGCAGTGGATAGACAAACGGATGTAAATTATTTGTTTTGATCAAGAATAATAGTAATAATAATTATTATTGTTGTTGTTGTTGTTCAAGTTGATTTCCATTGAAAGATGGTGCTGCGGTGTAATGGTCAGCACGCTGGACTTGCAACACAGAGGTCCCCCGTGTTAGATTCAATCATCCGGGCGCGGCAGTTGAAGCAACGGTGCCTCTGTTCGCCCCGGTACTCAACACTCGATCGGCAGGTCGCGTTCGGTGGGGTAAAGTGTGGGTATTTCCACCGCTGTCAAGACGTCTGATCGCCGTGGAAAGAGGGGGCAACGGACACCCTCTCGGTGGGGCTCTCCGGAACTTCCACCAGCAGTCGTGGTGAACGCGCAGTTTCAGTGGCTGCGCCTTTACCTCGCGCATCTGTTCACGTGGACCACAGCATCCCGGGACCGCGCGGCAGAGGCGTACGATAAGTCGTGGCCGCAGATTGACCGGCCACCCGTTCCCGTGGAGGAAAGAGTGATTTTTTCAGTTAAAATGAACTATTCACGGAATCATTAAGGTTCCGCAGAAAAAAAGGAATTTCTTGGTTGCCGGGCAGCCATGGGATAACCGTGGCGTGCGCGCGCGCGTGTGTGCGCGTACGCCAGACTCATGTGCGTACCTAGTGCGGTGTGTAAGGATCGCTGCGAGGGAGATAAAGGCGGTCAGGCGCGGTGCTGGTAACCCGCCCCCTCAAGTGCCGTGTTCGGCCTTCATATTCGCTTGCAAACAGAACTTGCCCCAACAGTCCATTATAGGCTATACGGGGTATCTTTGTCTTTGTACGTCGCTGAGTGGAGCGGTGGTGCAGCGATTAGTGCGCTGCGTCAGCGAACCCTGTGACCCCAGTTCGATTTCCTCTCACGACCCGTAACAGTAGCGGATGTTAGAATTGGTCCTGGTGGGCTTCCCCTAGGTCTACTCAACCTTAAATATGTAACCGAAGCATGAGTACTGGGGAGACAAAGGCGGCCGGGCGTGGTGTTGGCCACCCACCCCTTCGTGTGCCGTTCCGGCCATCATAGGTGCTCCTCGCGAACAGCACTTGCCTCGAACAGTCTGTTGAAGGCTACACGGGGGATCTTTGTCTCCGTTTTTTGTATGTCACTGAGGCTGGAATTTCTTCAGGGAATGTGGCTCAGGGATGAAAGCACTGAGATTCTGGGTTGGAGTCCAGTGTTCAGCCACCTGTGTTTAAAGCATCGCATTAAATAGTTCATGATTCATTTTGCTAAAGTTCAGCTCCGAAAATGTAAATATGTTTGATAGTTACTCTTTGTGGCAGGGCGGGTAGGAGATCAAATAAAGCCACTGAGAAACCTTGAAACAGAATTCCCTCTTTTGCAGGGCCTGACCTGGGCTACATCAAGTACACAGGATATTTAAACATACTTTTAAACACTAATTTAATATACATCTGAACGTGGATAATAAGCGAAAGAGAGTGAACTGCACTTTCAAATGTTAAACAAACAGGAAATATGTATTTTTTTTAAAGGGAAGTGACTTGATTAGGCGAGTAAAACTGTACAAGATGTAAACAACATTTTCTTCAGGACAGCCGGAAAACATTGAAACAATCAACGGCCTAATCAAGAACACGCACACACCTTTCCATCGAAGCCACCGGCGGTAGCTCTACGATATCCGCTTCCGAGGGTCGGTCCTCGAGCCCGTTTCGCGAGAGATCATCATGGATCCACCGTCTGGTGACACCGATAGTAGCGACTGAGACGAAGCTGTCAGAACAGGCAAAGCAAAATGAGGGTTTACGGCCAGAGGAGGTCACCGCTGTTTGTCGTCGTTTTTTTGTTCGTTATTGCCACAGAGCTCCCGTGCCATTCCCCCCCCCCCCCCCCCCCGGGGGAGTAGAGGGGTAAATGAAGAGGTGGGGGAGCACAGGGGTGGGTGGGTGGAGGGAGAACCCGGCGCTTGGTGGTCACGTTGGTGACATTTAACAACACGCGCGACTGACGCCACGCCCGATCGCCCGTCGCAGGTGCCCTGCGGTCACCCCGCGAGTCGCGCGCACGCGACCCGGCGCTGCATTAGTCGGAAGCGATTGTCACCTTCGAATCAGGGAAAGCGAGGTGGGCGGTGGTGGGGGGGGCTCATGACCAGAGCTTCCTCTGTCAAATCAGAGACGCGTCCTGTGCCGGCGCTAGGCGTGTAAGCGAACTAAGCAAATGCTTAGGGCCCCAATTAGCTAAGGAACCCCTCCCCCTTCCCCACCCTGAATCCATGACAATAAAATATATTGTGTTGAACTAAATAGCAGCTCAACTTCAAATCTAAAAAAAAACCTATGTTCATCTCTCCCACCCCTATCTCGTCTGTATCTCTCCCTCTATCTCGCTGCACCTCTTGTCGATGTCTGTTCTATCATCTCATTGGATTTTATAAATCAAAGGAAGAGGGAGGGGGGCGGTCAAAATATTTGTTTTTCTCGGAGGCAGAGTGGGCGGCTCGAGCCACCAAAGAGTCCAAACAGTGACCCCCGTGTTTAAACAAGCATCGACGCATTGGTGCTCATCTCGTGCTTAGCAGCGCCAAGTGGTCGTGGAGATACCACGTTCCTATGCGGTACTAGTTTTATCGACCCCCTCCCTCCACCCCCTATCGGTATGATTGGCAGCGTCAACACCACCACCACACCCCCAAACCAGCATTGTAACTCACGGCCTTCCCGGCTGCGCTCTCCTCGCTGGGCCACGTGGAGAACGGCGTCTCAAGTGCAAGCCGCTCGCTCCGTAGCAGAGATTGGTATTTACAGCGGCGGCGGAGGTACGAAAGTCTGCCGCTAATGGCAAACGCAGCATCGCCTAAGTGCCCCTAATCATGTCATTGTCCAGGAGAGTCGTACTCCGCCCGTAGAGAGCTCAGTCGACGAAGTGTAATTAAATCTAAAAATGTCCAACCGTGGCACTTAGAAACATACAGCAGCAGCCGCAGCAATCCCACGTCCACTTAACGAGGCTTGCGCGATGTTCTTAGGTGTGGTAACACAAACAACATAAACAACGGGAATTACAGCAGCTCTGTAATTTGACTGAAGATACTGCGGTGAATTTGGGGTGGATAATTACCAAAGCTTAGAGGTGATCATTTGGCAAATAAATGCCAATGTAAGTTAGAGGAAATAAAGAGAGGTGTGTTTCGGTTTGAGCAAACGGATGTTTATACATTCTTGGTTCTTTCGGTAAAGTCACGTAGAAGGGAAATAATTAAATAATAAAAATAAAACAATAACATTTTCACGACGTTTCGATCGCAACACAAGCAATCATCATCAGGTGTGAAAACCACAGCAATGATGATGATTGCTTGTGTTGTAATCGAAACGTCGTGAGAATTTAATAGTTTTATTTTTATTATTTTATTATTTCCCTTCTACGTGACTTTACCGAAAGAACCAAGAATATGAATCCCTGCAGTCACGAAAGCTTTAAATCGGATGTTTATATTTTAAAAACGCAAGCGAAATGCTGCAGAGATGTGAAGAACGTAAATTTACACATTTGTTTCAGCATGGGCCACTTACCATTGACTTTTTACAATGCAATGTTTCGGGGGCGACGACGTGCAGAACACGTGCACGAATCACGCACAAAAACCTGAAAGAAACATTTGGTGAGTTACAACACCCCCCCTCTGCCCCTTAGCTCCCATATATATATCTCACTCCTCGAATCCCGTCTCCGTAACAACGAGAAAAAACAAACGGCGGGCTGTCTCTCCATCGTCTGCCGGAGGATTTCCTGTCCTGGCCAAAAAAGGGTCCTTCGGCTCAAAAAATATAAATCCGCAACCCCGTGGTAGTGGTTGTCGTTGGCAGCATCCACGAATGTTTCCGAACGAAACCACTCGTACGTGCGGAGCGAAACAGCTGTGCGCATAGACGGGGTCGCGTGTGACGTGGTGCATGATGTACATTGTGTTGTTATTTAGAATTTCATGTTTTATTACTATTATATATAAAACACTTTTTTTTATGAAGAAACGTTCATACTCTTTGGTTATTTCGGTAAAGTCACGTAGTTAGAAATAAAATAAAATAAAACAAATCACGACTTTTCGATCACAACACAAGAAATCGTCATCAGGTGGGACAACCACAGCAAGAAACAACTGTATTACCGATCGCGCTATCGGCGTTGCGTCCCGATATGAGGAATCGTTACCGGAAATCTCGCAGCACAGCAGCGAAAAACCAACGGATATCACAACACTACTTCTGAGATCCCTTCAAGTGACCTATGCACCGCATAGCGTAGTGCGGCACCTCCTCACCTGCCCTGCAACTTAGAGAACCATTCGTTGCATGAGAGTCAAACGGATGTTTTTTTTATTCTCAGGGCTAAAATTTAGGAAACGTGATGTGCCGAATCTAATTAAAAGTAATCCTTTTTTTTTCTGAGCAGTCACTTCTCACCGGGCTGATGCAAACAACTCACTGCACTTGAGAACGCGATTGCATCACAATCTGGAGTTGAACCCAGGATCCCAGCGCTCTGACCTCTGAACCACGCAGCCTCCACCGCACAGATGTCTTCTTCGCAGTCCGACTCTCTCTCTGACTGTCCCTCTGTCTGTCCATCCGCCCGTCCGCCTGTCTCTGTTTCGCTGTCTGTTTGTATGTCTTTCTATTGGTCTGTCTATCTGTCCAACTGTCTCCGTTTCCCCCGGCCACCATCTCGCCACTAGTTTTTTTTATATATATATGTAAAAAGATTACATTCCAGCGATCACAACGGAAAGCTTTTTTTTTAGCGGGTCCATAAACAAGAAAACCCGAGCCAACTTTTTTTGCAGCGTTTGCTGAATTGACGAGAGTAACCAGGGGACTCTCGCTGTGTTACAACCGCCACCACCGCCACCACCGCCGCCACCACCGCCACCGCGGCCCATGACCCACGACCGCCCGGCGAGGGAGGAGAAAAAAAATGACACCGCTGACGACAAAGTAAAAAAAAAATATCCCGCTCGCACCGTCCACGTTGCTCAGGAGCGATAACGCCGAGGAGCCAGGCCGGACTGGCGCGAGCATCGAGCCGGAAACAAACCCACTTAACCCGTTCATCCATGGGCAGGAGGGGGTGGTGGACACGGAGGGACTGGGGGGGGGCAGACGCCTACATTTGTATTTCCTACGGCGTGGGGATTGCGGATGGCGAGGGTCCTCGCCGGGACGACCCTCCCCGTCGTCCGGTGCGCTCCGACTCCCAAATTGTGTTTTTTTTTATTTGTTGTTGCGCTGGAACGGTGGCGCCAAATCGCTGCACGTGTAATCGGAGTTTTGCAGAAAAATGAAATAGAGGTGCGGGTGAAGAGGTTAAAGAATAAAAATGGGGCTGTGCCATTTTTTCCATAAAACCAACTCGAACCGGACGCCCCCACTCCACCCCGCCCCGCTCCCCCACCTACTCTCCCCCAACAGCCCCTGTCCAAAGTACTGCACTTTAAAATTTTTCATGCCTATTTCTGTCAGCGGGAGTTATGGAAATTTTTCAATCCTGTTTTTTTTTTAAATTGCTCTCATATTTATGCATTTCGTGGCTAAGGTGTGTGTACATTTTTTCTCCACTTTGTCCAGCGCAGCCCACCCTCCGGAGCCTTCGCAGACAGCGCGATGTTTCAGCGACGCGATGTCCTGCGCACTCACGCGCTCTCCGAAGCGCCCCATAAAACGGCGCGCAAGGACATCAATAACTGCGGAGAGAGGGCCCCCGTAGCCCCGAGTAAACGGCGGCCCGCAGCCGCTGAGACGCCGCGGGGACTCTGACAAGTTAATTTTAATTGTCTCTAAAGTCGCCGTCCGGAAGGTTCGGGCGGGCGCTCTCCACCACGTGTCACACGCCCGTCGAACCCGAAGCGGGCGGCCCCGCCGCCGGAATTTGTTACGGTCGATTGTCCACCGCGGCCTCTTTTTGGTGTCCATTCGTCTGTCGCGAAGGTCCACTCGCTTCGCCGCCTCCGGCTGCCTGTCGCCTATTTCTTCAACGTACGTTCCATTGAACTGAACTATTTTATTTGCCAGGTAAAAGACGACGGATCTATGAGATCTTTTTTTTGTTTCAGACTCGCCCTGGCCACACATGATGACAGCTCATCGCAGTGGCTTATGTCATCATGACACGTGGAAATGTTTAAAAGCGACCACATAATCCGAACTCACGTTTCGCAATCTGGAGGGGGGAAAAAAATCGAAGGAGCCCGGAGTACAACCCACGCGACCACGGGGAGAGAGAAAACACGCTGACTTCATTAGGGTTGTGTGTTTGGCATGGGTCCTGGTCGAAGGAGAGAGACCCAAAAACTTCCACAGACTTCCACAGAGACCAATAGACTTCCACAGACTTCCACAGAGAACCACAGACTCACGCAGACTTACACAAGAGAACCACACACTTACACAGATGGACACAGACACCCATAGACTTACACAATAGACCCATAGACTTACACAGACTTACACAAGAAACTCAGTGGCGTAGCGTGATTGGCATGGGTCCTGGTGCAAGGAATGAAATTCACCCTTGCCCCCAACTCCTCTCTGACCGCCCCCCCCCCCCCTCACCTTCTCTATGGTCCGGTGGCTGGAATCTGTTGGCCCATGGGCCCTTGTACAGTTGCACCGCCTGCGCCCCTGGATAGCCACAACCACCGGTCTGTTTGTCAGTATGCCTGCAGACTACGCATTTAACAACTTACCACGTGGGACTATGCTATGAAATGTCACGATTACGGGCTCACGAATCACATTTTTTTCCGCCTCGTTTTTCGTCGTTTTGTTTTGCATTGTTTCTCGTTTGTTTGCTCGCTCTTGTTCGCAGCATTTGGTTCCATCGATTAACCCAAATGTAACGATAGCAAAAAAAAGTTTGCATGCAATTCGCATCACAGTAAATAATAATAATCAATTATCTTGAGCGTTACAATCGATTATCGCCGATGAGTCGCCACGTACCAAAAAACATCAATCCCTCTCCTTGATGTGCCGACAGCTTTGTGGTCCTGCTCAAGTTGAAAAGTGCGCAAAGAGGCATGGGGAGGCGCACGCATGGAATGACGCCGAGAGACGACGAGTGGGACACTTGGATTGGAGAACACACGCGGCTTGAGTATTGTATTGTACGTCATTTTGGATGGTAAGAAAGAAAATCGGGATTGGACAGGATGCGTGCTGGCGAGCAGGGACGATGGCCCGGTGAGCAAAATAAAGCAATGCATCAGAATCGGAATATTTATTTATACCGGAGGAATCCGATGAGTTATAAAGCTCTTTTCCCCGCAGATATCCAGCAGGGGCAGGTCAGAAATAGATCAGCAGCCAAGGGAACGCTGCAGAGGGGACGTGGACCGGGGAGATGGAACGATGAAATAATCTCCTCGTGTGCAGGATCATCACATCGTGCGATCCGTGAGAAATGGCGACAGCTGGGGTAGGGAGGCCGTCATCCAGCAGTGGATATATCACGGCTGATGATGGCAACGAATATGGTCAATGGGAAGTCAATAGCAAGTGGCTGTCCTATGGAGAGGACTGGTCTCCACCATAGGAATGTGGAATGTCCGCCAAAACCAAAAACGCCAACGGAAATTAGCACCGCCTTCTCCGTGTCGCGCCGGTGGCAAGGGTGGGGTCACTTTGCCGCTTTCCATCAGAATTTAACCTTAACGAGAGATTGGCATCCGTCCAATTACCCATGCCAATTACCCAAATGACAAGTACAGAGGTGATGAGGGGAGAGGGAGGAGGAGAGGGGGGGGCATGAGGAGTGGGGGAGTCCGAGGAACCAGGTGGCAGGGCTGAGACGACAGAGGCTGACGTTAATTGTATAAAGGCGCAGCCCTACAATCGCTGACTCACGCCACTGCCTCCACGACAGGAAGGTCTGGAGAAGCCCTCTCTCGATGATATGTTGACCCAGACATCTGGCCAAGACGTATCCAAGGAGGTACAAGTACCCACACTTTACCCCACCACACACGACTTGTCGATCAATTAACTGGGGTCGAACCCATATATACTGATGGGTGGCGGGGATGCGTGGGGTATGGGGGGAGAGAGATTGCGGTATTTACTCCATTGTTGCAACTGCCGGGAGATTTCTGGATTGCTTGGACCAATGTCCTAACCACACCATGGCAACAAGCAGAATGTCATCTTAGATCCAGTCAAAATTAAGTCAAATGGCTTCTACTTCCCTGTCTATTTAATAGGGGAGGAGCGGGGGGTGGGGGAGCTGAATTATATTGTTCGACCTCTAGGCTTGCCAACATAGGCTACCAGGGTTTAGCTCCCTGAAACCTATTCACCGGCAAAGACAAAGACAACGATCCTTCACGTCGCCCCCACCCCCACCCACTTTTTTAACATACTGTTAGGAGGCAACTGCTGTTAGCGAGCACCTATTCACCGGCTCGAACATTCTCCCACGCAGAGCCTGCAGTGCGTGGAGACCTCTCACGGCCAGGCACGGCGGGAGAGCGCAGGCTGCCGCTATCGGTGAACCCGTTGCCTTCGAGCTCGTCAAGTCTACCCCACGCTCTGCTCGTGGAGACCTTTCTGTCCCCCAATTTTGCGTGTGTAGTGACATTGCATGAGTCACTG